AGTGGCTGAATTTTCCTTGGCTCCTAACCATGCTGCCTGGATACCTATTTGCCACACATACACTCTTTGTCTATGCCCCATGCATACACTGTCGCAGTGGGCATCTCTATGCTGCACCTGCGGGTGTGAATGGCAGCTCTAGTAGATATACCCGCACTAGCTAGCTCACTAAAAATAGAAGCAAGGACACTATGGCATGGGCTTCCGTGGGGACTAGGTACACGTTGAGGTGCACACTAGCTTGCACTGGTGGTGCTGAGGCCTGCCTCACAGCATCCTCACTTCTAAGCTAGGGTGCAGTGAGCACAGATATGTCTACCTGAGCTGCAAATCACACCCCCAGCTGCAGTGTACCCTATGTCTATACCCCACTGTCTGTGCGTTACCAACTGCTGGTGAGTTGCAAGGAATTTCACAGCAGGATGGAGGGGTGACAGGTAGGGTGACCAGACAGCACGTGTGAAAAATCGGGACGGGGGTGGGGGGTAATAGGAGTCTATATAAGAAAAAGACCCAAAAATCGGGACTGTCCCTATAAAATCGGGACATCTGGTCACCCTAGTGACAGGATACCAGTGTAGTCATGACTGTGAAAGGAATTGCCCCCTGACTATTTCACAGTGGGGAACTCGAGGGGCAAGCTGATGTGTGTTGCCTGCACTTAACCCAGCCTTCTTTTGTGGATGGATTTCCCGCTCCTACCAACCCATCCCCACCCTCATGCATTCTCCTACAGCTGTCACTGGAGCAGGACAGATGGGGCAGTTATCTGCACCCCTCAGGCACCATTCAAATTTACTTTATTCAAATTCAGGCTCAATTTACAGTTTGTTTTGGCCATGTCTGTGAAACTAGAGTCTAGCCCTGTCATACCCTCACGGGAAGAAGTAAAGAGACAGCATGGTAAATCCCCATCCTTTGGAGAGTTGTATTGTCCAGTTCAGTACCAAGGAAGGGTTTGGCCCTTTCTCTGATGTCTATTACCCTCAAGAAACCCCAGCCCTTTCTGAAATCTACGACACTCTCCCTTTTCAGATAGTCCAACTCCTCCCATTTCCAAGGTCAACACACTGCTGAGCAAGGAGAGAGGTGAAACCAATACTGGGCTTCAGACCAATTCAGACACTTGGAACAGGCCCATTACATCTCCTATTGCTAACCAGCAAAAGGTGGTGGATCTGTTTTAGAGATGGCCTGGCCAGGTGTAGAGAAATGTGAGGGTCACTAAACACTGGAGTAGGGAGGAGACTTCTGGGCTCTGTTTCCAGCTCTGCCACAATGTGACAAGCCCTTTAACCTCAGTTTATCTGCCTAGAAAATGGGAATAATAATCCTGAACTCTCTGCAGGAAGGGTGGCGAGGCTGAATCTGTTAATGATTGTTAAGCATGTGGATGAAAGATGTTATTTATGTGCAACTTACTGTAACAAACCTCTAGGCACTTAGGATTTCATGGCTGTCAGCCTGCTGCATACCAAGTGCCCCACTCCTTCCTCCCTGCTTCCCTCTTCCCAGTCCATGGTTTACCACTTGGACCGTCAAGGCAATGATAGAATTCAGATTCTTCTTCTCCAGCATGCACAGGCCCTGACTCTGAAGCTAAGAATAATCTCCATTAGCCATTAGCACTACAGGGCTTATGACACACAGTTAAGCAGTTCTGATTCCATCCACCAGAGGGCAATGGTGCACATGCACATACACAGACACACTCATTCATACACACTCGCTAACTCATTACAATATTGATATTTTGCCAGCTAGACTAAATTAACCCTGATGCCATTCTGATCACAGCCCCATGTGACAAGTCGTCAGAAGAAGTCAGGCCCTTCAGCGCAGAGTTCAAAAGCGAGTACCCAGAATGCCTTGTTCCAAAACAAGAAAAGGACCATGCTGGACTGAAGGAAGAAGGTGCGCCTGCCCTGTATCTGAACAGGACATTGTCAGGGCCTCCAGCTCAAGGTTAGCTATACAAGGCCAGGCTCTCCAAAGAGCTCGGGGCCTGATTGTCACATGCTCGGCACCTACAATTGGGGCCAGATTTTCAAAAGACTTCAGTGCCCAGCTGGCTCCCCTTGTGACACCTCTGATCACACTGTTTATGGCAGAGCTGAGCCCTTTTGAAAACCTGGCCCTAAATGGTTCATGAATCGAAGAATTGTATGATGGTTGTTGCTTTGGTAACGAGGCCCTCAGAATAAATAGGGATCAAGAGATATTCTTCCACATTATAGGAGGTATTGGCCAATTAAAGGCCTAGTGATTCTGAGAGGGTTTCAGCCACTAGCTCGCCTTCACAGCCAACATCTGAATGTAGGAATGTCATGGCCCATCAGCACCGGCACCACTAGCCCCATGTTAAAGGGAAGTCTCATATCAGCCAAGGTCACATGAGTGCTGGAAGCATCTCTTCCCTAGCTCACAGGCCCCGGTGGCCTTTAAATCTGATGAGCTTGGCATATGGTTACTACAGTATGGGCACCTTAGAGATGTTGGTGATTGAGAGATAGACCGAGGTTATTACTGTCATGGTTGTATATGGCCCCACATGTGCACACACGTCCATACCACCACACTCTTACAGCACCACATGATGACAGTCTCCACTTGTACCTGAACTACTTTGTTCTCGGTCTGCGGTAGGTTGCCCAGTCTGCTTGTACGTAGCAGGCCATTGACAGGCACTGCACCAAACTAGGAAGTACAAGCTGAACTGTTGGGAAGTACTAACTGCCCTGCCTGGAGTATCAGCAACATGAAGCTAATCCAGCCAAAGTATGCTGGGACAGATTTGTGTCTAGGGTGGCTTCTAGACCACATACAGCAGAAGTAAGACAGCCCTGCCCACCTACCAGAGTTATGAGAAGGCTTTATTGTATTTCCCACAGGCAGCATTTCCCTCTGCACTTCTGGGATAGACGTGTTTCATGTCCGACAGCACGGCCATAAATTTCAGACTGAGACTAGAAACGTGTCAAACCCTCCTAACCGTGAGCTTGTTCTGTAGTTTCCCCCACAAGAGAGAAGAGACAGTGACCAATGCAAAGGGGACTTATGACCGAGGCACAGCCACATCCCGCAGTTCTCTCTGAGGCTCTTGCTCCCAGACTGCACTGGTGTCGTTGCACTGGTTCCCCCAAAGCCCTGGCCTGGCCTGGGCATCCATGAAAGGGACTGAGTCCTGTGGCTTAGGCCCATCTGTAGATGAGATCAGCGTTTGAAATGCAGGGCACTGGTTACTCATCTTTCCCTGTAGCTTTCCTGAGTCAGGTATTCTCATTACAGATATGAAGCAGTAATAAAATGACTGTGCTGAGCAGGTCTGGGAGCATTTGCATGAGTACCCAGGCAAAGCAGACAGCCTGCCAATCTGTTCTCCTTCTCCTTTGCCACCTCAGAGACATCCGTCCCAGCTCTGCAAGTTAAGGGCTGCAGCAATTCCACAAGCACCCCCACCTTCTACAAGCCCAGTTTCTCTTGGGACGCCTTCCATTCTCCATACAGCTACAGGCAGATGTCTTCCAGCATGCAGTCAGCCCTCCTGGAGCGCTCAGTTAGTCTGTATGGCAGCCACCTCCTGCCAGGCTCTGAGCCGCCTATTGATTACAGCATGCGTTACTCACCGGACATGGAGACGTACCACTGTGTGAAGTGCAACAAGGTGCATCACCCACTGAAGCCATAGGGCTGGGGAGGAGCCTGGGGTGATTTTCATCACATACATACACCAGTGTCCCACAGGCTTGATTTAAGGTACAAGGGACCCAGCTGGAGGATGGATACCAGGGGTCCGATATGGCCAAGGGCACCGGGAGCCTATGCAGGCAATATATGTACTTGGTGCTCAGTGCTCCCCCACCCATGCCACACCAAAAATATAGCGCCTGCACTGGTACCTACACTACCAACCACTATCAAGATGATAGCAGAAGGTCTCTGTAAACAAGAACCTGGCTCTGCTGAGCAGAGATTGGCATAAGCCACAGAGTTGGATATGGATCTGAATCTGAACATCATCAGAGTTTGGATCTAGAGTTTTGGCTCAGCCCACTGGGAGAGTAAGGCTAGCTGCCATGTTCAGAGCCAGCGTGAAAGTTTGGGAAGAGCGGGCGTGTAGGGGTTTGGTTTGAGCCCCTCTCTGCTGGTAAATAAGAGCACCTCATTTTGACTAGCCCAGAAGTAGAACTAGCAGAGACAGCTGGCCATTCACTCTCCTGGCTGGGGAAATAGTTCTGTGATTGGGCTCAGCTAATATGGGCAGCTGGAGGGAAACACCTGACAAAGAGAGGGAACTGGAAAATAGAGTTGGAGACATGGCTGGCTCCCGGGATCCTCATTGGCAGATTTCCTCTTCTAGGTATTCTCCACCCCACATGGGCTGGAGGTCCATGTCCGAAGATCTCACAGTGGGACGCGGCCCTTTGCTTGTGATGTGTGCGGCAAAACCTTTGGCCATGCTGTGAGCCTGGAGCAGCACACGAACGTCCACTCCCAGGTTGGTAGCCAACAGGGAGCCGATGGAATTGCAGAGTCACCCGTGGCACTGAATTCCCACGGGGGTTGGCTCCTCTGATACCTCGAAGCAGAGTCTGGGCAAATCCCAGCTCGTGCTGAGTCCTCCTTGTTAGGTTAGGTGGCACACCTCACGTGACGTGATACGATTTGCTGGATTTTAATTGGCAGGCCCTCCTGAAAAATAGCAGGGAGTTTGGGAGGGAAGAGACATAACTAGAGATGGGCCTGAGCCACAACATTCAGATCTGGAGCCAGATCCAAATGTCCTAAGAGTTAAGGGGTTGTCTGGATAACCAGGGGTTTGGCTCAGTCCACTATAGCAAGACGGGCGCCCTGTGACATTCAGGTCTGAGCCTCCCCAGAGTTTGAGAGTATTTGGATACAGGGATTTGGCTGACATCCATCTGTTATAACAAAGAGGGAATCCCCGACAGGGAAACGCAACAGCCTTCCTGCAGACACACCAACAGAGCAACACCAGTGCCAAGTACATTTATATAGCCACAACGGCCTGGAGGACTGAGGACAATGGACCTCATTCTTGGCTCTCTGTTCTCACAAATCTCAATGCTCTCCTTGGTAAATCCCTCTACATGTCAGAGGTTCATTTGCAATAGTTTCCTCCTGTGATTCACCTCCTCCTGCATGACACAATCTAGTGGCTCAGACTCCTGTAAGCTGTTTGGGGCAGAGACTTTTTTAACTTGTGTTTGGACAGCACCTAGTACAATGGGGTCCTCCTGGTCCATGACTAGTTGCTCCTGTGTGCTACTGCAATACAAATGAATAATAATAATAGTATTCCTAGGAGAGGATTACCTGATTTGTCTTGTTTAACTTGCTAGCCTGCCTAGTTTTCTACTAGCTTTGGACTCCATCACTTCACCTGTGAATGACAAATCTGATCCCCAAAATTTCATTTCCCCCAACAGGAGAGAAGCTTTGAGTGTAAGATGTGTGGAAAGACTTTTAAGCGCTCGTCCACATTGTCCACCCACCTCCTGATCCATTCAGACACGCGGCCCTACCCCTGCCAGTACTGCGGCAAGCGCTTCCACCAGAAATCAGACATGAAGAAACACACCTACATTCATACCGGTGAGAAACCTTTCTGACACGAAACACACACACACCCCTGAGCCCACAGCAGTCATGCATACAGATGCACTCACACACACACCAGTCACACATATGCATGCATACATGCACCTGAGCTGACAACACTAACACGCACACGTGTACATGTGCCCCTGAGCCCACAACATTCATGCCCACACAGGTGCACACACGCACACAGACACGTGAGCCCGGTGTTCATGCACACACTTGTGCAAATGCACTGAGATGATGTACAGGAAGATGCTGATGGTGAGCCCAATTGTGGGCTCAGCATATGTGTTTTTAATGTTGCATGTATGCCAGAGGGTCTGATCGATGCAGTCACACCTGTGCAGGGGGGGCAGCACAAGGTCTCGGCACCAACGAAGTCCCACTGGCCCCCTGGAGGGGATGTATGTTCCCCTTTGTGACCCAGTCCATAATGCCAAGAGGGAGGGATGAGCCCAATTTCCCTAGTGTAGAGGGCTTGAGTTTGTGTTCTGCGTGGGAGAGCTGGGGAAGGGGTGCAGGGATCAGAGACAGGGAACGAGATAAAAGATGTAATGACAAAAAGAGGGTGAAAAAGAGCAGAGGGGGCACTGACTGAGCAGCCGCGGCAGAGAGGCCAGGGACTAAATGGGCTTTGCAGGCCGAGCTCCCCTCTCAGCCCTACAGGTGTTCCCTCCAGGGCCGCGTGGTGGCACATCAGCAGGGCAGTGTGTGGCTAACAGACCCGCACTGCCCAAGCCCGTCGGCCCAGCACAAACAGCTGCCTCAGTTTGGATCCGTGATGGTTTGTTTCTGTCCCACAGGGGAGAAGCCCCACAAGTGCCAAGTGTGCGGCAAAGCCTTCAGCCAGAGCTCCAATCTCATCACCCACAGCCGCAAGCACACCGGCTTCAAGCCCTTCAGCTGTGAACTCTGCGCCAAGGGCTTCCAGCGCAAGGTGGACCTGCGGCGGCACAGAGAGACCCAGCACAGCTTGAAGTGAGAGCACACCCCCAGCTCTGTCCTGGAGCCCCCACTCCCAGCCACATGGAATCCCACCAGTATTCTGGCCTCGTTTCTCCCTCTGCTTGGCTTGGGGCACCCACTTTGTTAAATGCTTATCTCTGCCCGGATTCCCTGTGGGACTGGCACAGCAACGTCATCTTCCCTGCATCCGACGAAGTGGGCATTCACCCACGAAAGCTTATGCTCCAATACATCTGTTAGTCTTAAAGGTGCCACAGGACTCTCTCTTGCTTTTTACAGATCCAGACTAACACGGCTACCCCTCTGATACTATCTTCCCTGGTGTTACCCCACATCCCCCTGTGTGTGACCAAGAATGGCACTGCCGGGATCACTCACTGTCTGGTTTTATCACAGGCATTGGGCCAGGCTCTGATCTCAGTTACTCCAGTGTAAATCCCCTGGAGTCGTCATTACTCTGGATTTACAATGAGTGCAGGATCGGGCTCATCTCATCCCCTGGCGACACAGAGGGACTCCTGGGTTGATGACACCAACTGACTAGCGATCTGTGCCAGGCTCCCTAATCACGCTCTACTTCGATGGTTAGGAAGATAAGGCCTGGGCATGCAAATAATTTGCATTCAATGAGCTCCGCTCAGCTAAGACAGGGTTCCCATAGAGGGCATAAATTTGGGGCACATACACCTAGACTCACATTCTTTCAACAGGAGTCTTTTTGTTATCAGGTGAAAAATATGTAGCACTGCACGTTTATCTTACAATAGAGTTGGAGGGCAGGGCAGTAAAAAATCAGACCCTACATGCCCATATTAGTACCACCTGGCTACCTACGTGGACTTCTGAGCTACGTGGTATTCAGGACCACGGGGAATTTTGTTTCCCTGTCACTCTTATAAAAGAAGAAGCTGATCTATCCATCTTGCACCCATCACATTAGTATGTGAGTACCCTACAAGTAGTAGCAAGGCAAAGTAGCAATACACCTCTACTCCGATATAACGTGACCTGATATAACATGAATTCGGATATAACACGGTAAAGCAGTGCTCTGGGGGGGGGGGGCGGGGCTGCACACTCCAGCAGATCAAAGCAAGTTCGATATAACGCGGTTTCACCTATAACACAGTAAGATTTGTTGGCTCCCGAGGACAGCATTATATCGGGGTAGAGGTGTATTTCCTTCTCTCTCTGGTCAAGCGGTTAAAGCACAGGGCTGAGAACAAGAGCCATGGGTTCTCTCCTTGGTGCTGCTACATCCTGACTATGTGACCTTAGGCAGGGCACTTCCCCTCCCTCTGACTCAGTTTCCCCATCTGTAAAATGGAGATGATACTTCACCTCACTGGGGTGTCATAAAGATTAATGTACCAGGTTTGTCAAGTGCTTCGAGATCCTCAGCTGGAAGACACTAGAGAAGGGCAAAGTGCTATGTTAGGGAGAGAAGTGCCTTTAAATGAGAGGGGCAATGAAGCCCCAACCAAGTCAGCCTCGGACACTGTGTCCAACAGTGACATCACTGTGTTTAGCCTGTCGCTGGGATGCAGCATCGGTTCCTTTGTCCCTCTCTTTACCCCAGCACTGATGAATGAAACAAAAGCCCTGCAGTGACTCTCCTACAGATAGGAAAGACATGATGCAAGTGGAGAATTCATTTACTGCCAGGAGGAAAAGGGCCAAATCCTGCTCTCAGTTACCCCAGTGTAAATCCAAATGGCTCTGGCCCAGGATGTGAAGCATAAATGCCTCCGTGTTTGTGCTGGCTCTAGGCTACTTTCCACTAACATGCAATCTAGTGACTCAAAACACTCTCCCCTCCTTTGCGTGTACATTTACATATGTATTTATACTTATTGTAATGTATATTTTTACTGTAATAAACCAGACTGTAACAACCTGTACAGGCCTGTTAGATTTCCCAGATAAACGCTATGTTTCTTCTCAGGTAGAGGTAGACTATCACAACGCTCTGTGAACTAAAGACACCCATTTCAAGAAAGGTTTGGCCATGCCCAGCTCTGGATTTGAAATAGCCTGTGTGATTTACTAGTCTCTCTCTTAAATATCACAGGGGCCTAGTCCACACCATGGACTGAAGTGTCACTTAGGGGGGAAATTCATAGATTCTAGGACT